CACTGAGACATTTTCCTTGGTACAGCATACCTGGGAAGGTTCATTCAGCTTTAGAGATCACAAAATTTTAAGGCTACCCAGCACAGTGTCCTGGTGAAATTTCAATGGCCCAATTTTTACATTACATGTACTTTACATAGACGGCATGTCGATCTGTATTTACCATTTTTTCCTTGTAAACCAGGGTAAATGCCTAACCGCCTCCCGGTTAGCTCAATTGGTTAGAGCGCTGGACTGTTGTGCGGGAGGTCGAGGTCGATGGTTCGAGCCCCGGCCGGACCAACACTCAAGGTCTTAAAATAACTGAGGAGAATGCGCTACCTTTCTATAATATCAAGAAATGGATAGACATTCTAGTCTTCTCGGATAAGGACGAATAAACCGTAGGTCCCGTCTCCTGCATCTATTAATTAGTTAATTTGGTTAGGCAGGGGACGTTAAAGAACCCACTCAAGAGATTACTGTGATGTGGTCTGGCCTGTTTACTGGGAATTGAGGGGGGAGGGGACATCTTCAAATAAGTTTCCTTCGATTGTTTGTAAACTGCTGATGCAGTCCGGCCAAAGTCCCCCGAAAAGTGTTGTGATGCGCATTTGATCATATCCACATGTTAATTTGCGCAATTAGTAGTATTATTAGTAATATTAGTAGTATTTATTGTACTGAAATTCTTCCGTTGCCAGAGAGCAGTTATCGTTTGATTAAGAGATCCAGTTTCACAATAATCTTTAACATTTTGAGAAAACATAACCCTACTTTTGGCATGTACAGCCCATCTGGAGAGGGCTCAAAATTTTTTTCCCAAAAACTAGTTACCACTTTTTACAAGCACATTACAGATTTGATTCAATTATGTATTTTACTGTAATGAAATTCTTCCGGCGCTTATTAACGGTTGTTCGTTTGATTAAGAGATCCTGCTTCACAATAATTTTCAGAATACATAACACTGCTATTTTGCGTGCAATTCCCATCTAGAGACTTCTCATAAAACACAAGAATCGAGCTCGGAATTTAAGGTGAGCTCATTCATAAAGATTAACTTTCGCGTAGCTGGAATGCAAAGCAATTTCACATCGAGCAAGTTAATATCATTAACGAGTCTTCAATCCAACTAGACTAAGACAACAACCTCTACCTGAAAAGTTTGAGTATTCTTATTACTTGTTTGATGAGTAATTTAGGGATCTTACACGTTAAAAAAGGTTTATAATAGTTTCACGCACGTTTTCTCTGCAACATCTATGAACAGTTCTCGTCATGAAAAACGATATGTATTACGAGTTCGATGATGTGAAATGAAACTCGTCGGTACCAGGGGTTAATGGCAAAAACCAGAACAAGTTTTAAATATACTCAACTTCTTTTACTTTCATTCAGCTTAAACTCAAATGGAATTTTTTTTTCACTCAGATCTCGGAGAATGCCAGCGACAAAAATACGTCTCTTTTCTTGAACAAGTAGAAAAAATCAGTCATTAATTAAAAGTAATTTTAAGTCATTGGCTCACAAAACTAGACAGTGAATATACGTACATTCTGACCCATCAATTAAACTGAAGATGGCAGGTTAGTCAGGCAGCTAAGAATTCTGAGCCAATCACAGGACTGTAACTTCTCCTGGACAGTCTTTTACTAAGATTGATAATTACTAAAAAGTATCTATATATGAAGCAGAACTACTGTATAAAAATGGTGGCCAGTTACAAAGAAATGTAAAATGATTTTGTCAGCATGAAAGGATCGATGTAGTAAAGGCATTAATTTGACCCT